ATTGAAACACAGGAGGAGGAGGAGGAGGAAGAGGGAGCATCGCTGCTGGAGGGTGTAACAGCTCCAAGTGGTATCTCAGAGACCGCGCCTCAACGCATGGCCGGTGATTCTTCCGAGAAGTCACAGAAGAGGGTAAGGCTCTTTGTGGGTGCTGTGGAGCAGGAGTAGCTGGTAACCTGTTGCTCTCTCTTTTGTAAAGCCATGAGGCTGGGCTGCATCACCACGAATCCCTTTGGCTTGCACCCGGATGCTGCTGCCTGTGTTCCTAGGCAAACTGTAGATGTATTTGCTTACGTGAAGCGTTGCGTATGCAGACAGCTGATGTGCTGAGCGGTGCAGCTCCCCCTGACAGTACCTTTGCTGCACTGAGGGCAACAGTACAGAACTCAGCTTAGGAATTGGTCTGATCTTGTTAGTGAGCATCATGCTCAGCGCTGCTCTGTGTTCCTACTGAGAAAGTCTTGAATATTAAAACTGCAGAATTCTCAAGAGTTACTTGCATTTCACCTACTGTAGAAGATGGTAGCTGGTCTTGTCCCTTCGCTTCCTGATCGTTCTCCATTAACCCAGTGTAGCGGGAAGATGTTGGTACTAGCTGCAATGGAGGAGGTGACAAAGAATATCTCTTCGACAATGAGTAAACAGACATTGTGTTGTTCTCTTTTTTTCCTTAATAGAAAAGGAAGAGGAATAAATCAAGGAAGGGTCCTTCCATCTCTGGGGAGCCGGACTCTCTGCCTCCTCTAAGCACAGCACCAGCTCAAGCCGCGGAATTGCCTGATACACGTGCTATTGCACAAGAAACCCAAACCCCGGGCAGTGAAGTAGCCAAACCGGGTGCTGCTTTACTTGCTGGTGACAGTGGAGGCACACATGAAAGCGACAGGGAGTTGGGTCACTTGGGAAAGGAAGCTGGAAGTCTGGAAGCGGTTGCAGAAGGCAGTCACAGCAGCGTAGGTGTGATGACCCCACCAAAGCAGAGCAGCGCGCGTAATGTGGCTGCCCCACCTCCGAGCTCTGCAGCCCCAAAGAAGAAGGTGGAGGGTGGAAGTACCACAGAGTGTGGGGAGGCGGTCGGGAGTAACGTGGAAGGGGGCAGTGGTGGCCCTGACGCTGGCCAGCTTCCAGAAGCCAGACCAGATTCCCAGTCCTCGGGTAGCAGTAAGAAACTGGCCTCAACAGGAGAGCGAGCGAGCATTTCCTCCGAGTTGTCTGCTGGTACGGGAGTGCCGAAAAGTAAGCCTGCAACTCCTTGTGCTGAACATCGAAGTCAAGACACACAGACTCCACCTGCGGTCA